AGCAGGTGGAGGATGTGAGGAGCACACACAGGGAACAGAATTCCTGGGGGAGGGAAGTGCAGGATCCTCCTGGATGTCACTGAAGGTCCAAGCTGTGCCTGGCAGGACAGGGAATGGCCTGGCTGGAGGCAGATGGGGCAGTTGTGGTCAAGGACACTTGGAAGGAGTTTTAATTCTTGTAAGGGAGGGAAAAAATCTGGATTTGAATTGCAATTCCAGTCTGGGTAAGGCAGCTCTGGCTGAAACGAGGCATTGGCCAGGATTGTCCTGTCCTGTGTTTCTTAGATCACAGAATTCCCAAATTCCAGAGGCTGGCAAAGCCCTCCCAGCCCCTGCAGTCCCAGCTGTGCCCCATGGCCACCTTGGCACCCTGAGTGCCACCTCCAGGTGCCACCTGCAGGGATGGGCACTCCAAAGCTCCCTGGGCAGCCCCTGCCAAGGCCTGAGCTCCCTTTCCATGGGGAAATTCCTGCTGCTGTCCAAGCTGAGCCTGCCCTGGCCCAGCCCGAGGCTGTTTCCTCAAGGAATCTTCCAGAAGGAACACAGGGCTGCTGTACCCACCAGGAAATTTCTGGGATCCATTTGGATGAGCCCCAGCTCTTCACTCCGAAGTCTCAGACAACACTTAAAAATCCACATTTTATTAAAATCCTAATTAAAAACCACCCAACCGAAGGCCCAAGCAAATTAACTGAGTGACCCTCCCTTCTCCAGGAGCTCAGCTCTGGGAATTCTCTCCCTGCAGGGCAGCAGGATGGAAACTTTGACACGACTTTAATGACAGGGCAGTGATGCTGTGGCAGCTCCCAAGGGAGGGCAGGAAGGTCCCAGCCCAGCATTCCTGCACGTCCCAGCTCCTGCTGATTCAGGAGAGAGCTTGAGCAGCAAGAATTTATGCAGCAGATTAAAAAGCAGGTGCAGCACATGGTAATCCCTCTGCCAAATTGTGCTGTGTGGGAGAGGCATTCAGCAAGAACTTTCCATGCCTTGGCAGCACATGGAGCCATCCAGGCTCCCACAGCCTTCCAGGAAAAGGACTGGCACAGTTTTTGGGGAGGGTTGTGCTGCTGAGCAGCAAAAGCTGCTTTTTATGGCAAGTCCTGTATTTTCACACTCGAATAACATCAATAAATGGATCGTTACTTGATTTACAGAGGTTCAATCCAGCACGGGTCAGCTCCTAGAAAAAGTAAAAAAAAAATCCATGCTGCTGTTAAAGGCATCTCAGGATTGGGCTGGAGGGGATTTTCAGGATCGTGTCCCACAGGCAGGGACACCTCCCACTGTCCCAATGTCCAACCTGGCCTTGGGCACTGCCAGGGATCCAGGGGCAGCCACAGCTGCTCTGGAAATTCCATCCCAGCCCCTCCCAGGGAACAATTCCTGATTCCCAAAATCCCATCCAGCCCTGCCCTCCTTTAATTTAAAACCATTCCCCTTGTCCTGGCACTCTGCCCATGTACAAAACTCCTCTCCCTCCTTTTCAGAGCCCCCTTCAGGCTCTGGGATGGGCTCTGAGGTTTCTCAGGAGTCTCCTCCCCTCCAGGCTGAACCTCTCCCCATCAGGGAATTATTTGGATGAACTGTTCTGTAAATCCCACACACCCTGGGGATTAGGATCACTTACACAGAGCCACAGGTAGCACCCAAAAATTTACCTTTTCCATCCGGAACCGGCCACTTTTCTCTGTGTGTGACCCCCCCACGGGCTCCTTCAAAGCAAAGAGATTTACAAAGAGAAATGAGAAATGCCTAACAGCAGTTTGCAAAGGTGGGATCATAAAATCGTGGAATGGTGAGGGCTGGAAGGGATGTCCCAGATCTTTTCCACATCTGCTGTGGGGATGAGAGGCAGAGCTGCAGGCTGAGCGTGGAGTTGGGTTTTATTCAGGATAAAGCCATTGTTGGATATTTAGCTCCACCTATGGGCACGTCTGGAAAGCCTGAGTCAGTCATTTAGTCCCACTTTAAGGCTCTAATCCCAAAATATTCCAGGTGGGAAAAGCCCTTCAGGAGCACCCAGTGCCACCCCAGCAGCATCAGCATCACCCCAAGGCTCACATCCAGAGACTCCGAACGTCCCCGGGCAGCTCATCCCAAATATTAAATGTAGTAAATCCTTCTGTGCCAGAGCCTCTCCCCCTTCACAGGAAAAATTCCTTCCCAATTTCGACTCCAAAACTTCCCTCAGTTGGACACCAGGAGGAATTTTTCCCCCAGCTCCCTCTCCCAGGATTTGTTTTCCATTCCCAAATTCTCTCCCCGGGCCAAACAAAAGGAATTCCTGGCAGGAAAACAAACACACACTTCACATGGCAAAGTCTGGAACGTGACAGTCCCACGTTATCAAGGGGAATTTTGTCAGGGAAGATAAATCCAGTCCTGCCAGCTCCATCCTGTCCCTTGTCATTGGAGTCACCTCTGTGCTCCTGCCTCACTCCCTGGAACATGACAAATTTGGTTTTATTTGAAATTTTAATATCAAAATATTCTTTAGCAGTGTCTCGGGGAATGTCTCTATCGTTGTTTTGTCTTTCCAGATCCAATTATAAATTATTAAAAGCATTAGCAAGGAATAATTCACTGGAAAATGTTCCTCAAGTGTGTTGGGCAAGGCAGGATAAAAGCAAAAACGAAGAATTTCTGTTCCCCAAGACAAACCAGAAGCAGAAATTGAGTGGTGATGATGCCAAGGGTAAAATCCCTGCTGGAATTGTTCCAAGGTGGTTCCAGAATTGTCCCAAGGTGGTTCCAGAATTGTCCCAAGGTGGTTCCAGAATTGTCCCAAGGTGGTTCCAGAATTGTCCCAAGGTGTTTCCAGAGCTGCTGGAGTTCATTCCTTGCCCACCCCTGGCCAAGTCTGAGTTTTAAATAGAAAAGTTACTAAACTTGGGGCTGCTCTGGGAAACAAAACTGATTAAAAAAGGAACTTTGGGCCTTCACCTTGAGAACAAAGGAAGGGTTAAATTTTAATTGAGTACCAGAAATTCCTTTTTGCCATCACAGGACTTCCATCCCTACCCACAGCAAAACCTTCATGGTTTTCCTTCATTTCTTTTGCAACAAAAGAATTTTAAAATTCTCAGGTAAAGCATTTTCAATATTGGTTTATTTTCATGCTCCAGGAGCTTCAAAAATCTTTTTTTTTTTTTTCCAAAAATCATGGAATGGATCACGGAATGTTTTGGGATGGAGGGACTTTAAAGCTCATCCCATTCCACCCTCCACTATCCCAGCCTGACCCTGGATACTTCCACAACCTCTCTGGAAAAACCCCCAAATTTTTAATTTTTTTTCTAGAAATATTTCATGTATTGTGAAGGCACAGGGATTATTGAGGAGCAGGAAGATGCTGATACCTTTATTAGGAACTTGAGGCACAGAGAAATCAGGTTTTTATTTGGAATATCCCCCCCTGGGTTTTATTCATGAGCAGATTCTCACATTTGGAGATCATGCAATTCTCTGAAGGCTGGAAAGTTCTTCTGGAAATCAATTTATCAGGGCCTGGAACAACATTCTGCCCCTTTGAAAGCTGAAAATTCCCAATTTTGGAACTGAACTTTTGAGTGGTTCCATGCAGAAAACACCAAGACATTTACAAGAAGACAACAAAATATTTTAATTTCAATCTGCCCCGTGCTATACAAGTGTATAAAATACCAACTAAGCATCCATTGGAACATTACAAAAATAAAAGGACCAGAAAAAGCAAGCAGCACACTGGAATCAGGAGGTGACAGATCCAACCAGGAACACACTGGGAGCATTCCAAGATTTCCAGGGGTTAGGTATTATTTAAAAAAAAAAAAAAAAAAATCAGATTTATTGATGGTTTGAAGTGTGAAAAGCTTTTGTAGGAAACACAGCAGCAGGGCACCTCTGGGTTTCTAGTGCCAAACTCATGCTTGGATTTTCCATGGAAAACAAAAAGGACAGGACAGGAATTATTCCCAATGTTTGAATGTGGATGTGGTGAGACACAAAGTTCAGCAGTATTTGAGAAACGTGGAAAAGTCTTGGAAAGGCTTCAAGGCAGTTTGTGGCAAACCTGCAAAGTTTTTGGTTTTTTTTTTTTTGTTTTTTGTTTTTCTGCACTTAACTCCTTGAATTTTGGGTGTTGAATGCAGCACGTGGAGCCAGCTGAGGGTAACCCAAAATAATGGGATTTTCCTGTGTGCAGCTGCAGAAATCCATGGAATCAGCTCCCATGGCCACTCAGACACCAGGACCAGGCTTTGCTCCAGTTCCCAGGGAAAAACAATCCAAGCTAGAGCAGAAAATTCAATATATTCCTGGTGTCCAGGCCCAGATTTGTGTTCCAGTCAGGAATTCCAGGCCTGCAATGGCTCCATTCTTTTTAAAAACAAATATTATTTAAAACCACCAAGGTGTGAACCAGGAATTTCAGTGAACATTTGCTTCAATCTCTTCTCAGGCCAACTGTGGCAAAAGCAAACCAAGAGAGAGCCCCAGTTTGATTCCTAAAAGCACCACCAGAGGCTCAAACTCCTTTTTTCTTTTTTTTTTCCAAGACCCCAAGTGGTATTTTCCATGGATAGCAATTCTTACCTCTCCCCCCCCAAAAAAAAAAAAAAATCCTGAACCCTGTTTCAAAGTGAGGATGTCCAGTTTAAAAATCAGTATTAAAATATTTCTTTCTTTGAAATTTGCATTTAGGAGCCTTTAAACACTGCCATAAAAAAAAAAAAATCCCTAAAGCTTCTCCCACAAATTCCCTGCCTAAAGCAGCATTCCTTGGCATTTAAACATTTCATCCCAGCTGAGTTTGGAAGCAAAAGCTCAGAAAATTTGAATTTCTGGATACCTAAAACCAGTAGAAAAAGATCCAAGTGTGCAGCTTGGAGTAGGAATGGACAAGGAAAAGGCACTCCAGCTCTCCTCACTGCTTCCTGCAGGGAATTTTCCATTCCCTAAGAAATCTTTACTCATCAAAAATGCAGATTTTCAAGTTTCTCTATTTTTTCTTTTTTTTTCCCCCACTGGAAAAATCCCCCTGCTCTGAATATGCACCATCAGCATTATTTGAGTCCTTTTTTTTTTCCTCCCCCCTAAAGTCAAAGCTCCCAAATAAATCCTATTAAAGATATAAATTACCTGAACTTAAATAATTTATTTAAAATCCATGTATTCCAACAACTCTCCTATTGCACTTTTTTTTTTTTTTCCATTGCTTTGCCAGGTAAAAACCCCTCTGCAGGAATTTCAAAGGTTCAAATTTTAAAAGCACAAATTCCAGAGCACCAAAAAAAAGCAGGTGCTGGAGGAATTAAATCCTGCTGGAAAACGAGTGCCAATAAAACCAAATATAAATATATCATGTATGTACAAATCCAGGAGGAATTCTGGGATGCTGAGATAATAAATAATTTGAAACAATTCCCAGATTTCCAGAAACTTGGGAGAAATTCTAGAAAAAGAAAAGCAAATTATTTTAGAAGACCAAGAAGGAACATGCACAAAACCTAGTGTAAGAAAATTCCCCAAATTCCCATCATCTTTCCAACCCTGTTATTCCCAAACTTTTCCAAACATCCACCAGCTGGAGGATTTATGGAACAACAAGGAAAGCTTCCCCCAAAAGCTGCTTTTCCCCCCCCCCAAAAAAAAGGAGCCCAGTTTGTCCTGGTTTGTCCCCAAATGTCCCCATCTCCCATCCCTGGGATTTGGGAATTCACTCAGCACATCAGCAGCCACAGTGAGCTTGGAATTCCTTCAGTGGGAACAAAATTTGCTTGGAATTCCTTTAATTTGGAATAAATTGAGCTTGGAATTCCTTCGTTTGGAGCAAACTGAGCTTGGAATTCCTTTGTTTGGAATAAATTGAGCTTGGAATTCCTTCAGATGGAACAAACTGAGCTTGGAATTCCTTCATTTGGAGCAAACTGAGCTTGGAATTCCTTTAGAGCAAACTGAGCCTTGAATTCCTTCAGCTGGAACAAACTGAACTTGGAATTCCTTCATTTTAAACAAACTGAGCCTGGAATTCCTTTGTTTGGAGCAAACTGAGCTCGGAATTCCTTTATTTGGAGCAAACTTGGAATTCTCCTCCTGCAGCTGCCACCAAAAGGTGGCAACTGCTGATCCCTGGTTGGTTTTTTACTCCAAATCCTCAGAGAGCAGCAGCCCAGCCCAGTTAAGCCCAGCCTAGTTGGGCTCAGCCCAGCCCAGTTAAACCCAGCCCAGTTGAGCTCAGCCCAGCCCAGTTAAACCCAGCCCAATTAAGCCCAGCCCAGTTGAGCTCAGCCCAGTTCAGTTAAACCCAGCCCAGTTAAGCCCAGCCCAGTTGAGCTCAGCCCAGTTCAGTTAAACCCAGCCCAGTTCAGCCCAGCCCAGTTGAGCTCAGCCCAGTTCAGTTAAACCCAGCCCAGTTAAGCCCAGCCCAGCCCAGTTAAACCCAGTTAAGCCCAGCCCAGCCGAGCTCAGCCCAGGTGGGCGGGGCTGAAGTCGGGCCGGCGGGTCTGGATGATTTTGGGTTTGGGTTTCCTGGGCTGCTCGTGCTCGCTGTCCTGGTCGCTGTCACACACGTGCACAACCACGCTGGGGGTGGTGGCCGTGGCCGCGTGCAGCTCGTACTTGTCACCTGCCAGGGAAAACAACGGGAAATCCCTCTGGGAATGGGGTCTGCGACTTGGGAATGAATGGGGTTTGATATGGGGAATGAATGGGGTTTGATATGGGAATGAATGGGGTTTGATATGGGGAATGAATGGGGTTTGATGTGGGAATGAATGGGGTTTGATGTGGGGATGAATGGGGTTTGATGTGGGGATGAATGGGGTTTGATGTGGGAATAAATGGGGTTTGATGTGGGAATGAATGGGGTTTGATGTGGGAATGAATGGGGTTTGATATGGGAATAAATGGGGTTTGATGTGGGAATGAATGGGGTTTGATATGGGAATGAATGGGGTTTGATATGGGAATGAATGGGGTTTGATATGGGGAATGAATGGGGTTTGATATGGGAATGAATGGGGTCTGATATGGGGTTTGACATTGGGGAATGGGGTCTGTGATGGGATATGGGGTCTGGGATGGGATATGGGGTCTGTGATGGGATATGGGGTCTGGGATGGGATATGGGGTCTATGATGGGATATGGGGTCTGTGATGGGATATGGGGTCTGTGATGGGATATGGGGTCTATGATGGGATATGGGGTCTGTGATGGGATATGGGGTCTGTGATGGGATATGGGGTCTGGGATGGGATATGGGGTTTGCAGTTTTCTCCTCTGAGGCAAAGAGAAATAAAAATGAATAGAGAGCAAATATGAATAGATATAAAAATGAATAGAAAGAGGAATAGAAAGAAAATATAAAGAGAAGGAAAATACAAAGAAAGATTGAGAGAAAAATAGAAAGAGATATAGAAATAAATAGAAAGAAAATATGAGTAGAAAGAAAATATAAAGAGAAATCAAGAGAAAAATAGAAATAGAAAATAGAAATTAAATACAAATAGAAACAATAAATAGAAAAAGAAACAGAAATAAAATAGAAATAGCAACAAAAATATGCAGAACCAATAAAAATAAATAGAAATAATTAGAAATAGAAATAAATAGAAATAGAAAAAATATAAGTAGAAATAAATAGAAATAATTATAAATAGAAATAAATAGAAATAGAAATAAACAGAAATAATAAAAGTAAAGAGAAATAATAAAAGTAAATAGAAATAAAACTAAACAGAAATAAAAATATCTTGGAAAACTTTTAGAAACTCAGCAAGTTCTGAGGTGTTTTCCTCAATCCAAATTGTGGATTTTACCTTACCTGGCCCTAGCTTGGAAATTGCATACAAAAGGTCATAGTTGATGACTGGAGTGGCATCCTCCACTTGTTTCCAATCCACAGGAGGGGAGGCAGGGGGGGAGATCAGGAATTGCTTCTCTGGATTGGGGGGGGCCAGGTGGGAGCTGCCAATGTGCAGAGTCTGGCAGGGAAATGAGAGAAAATGCAGTGAGGAAAAAAATTCCTGGAGAGAAAATTCAATGAGAGAAAAAATTCCTGGAGAGAAAATTCAATGAGAAAAAAAATTCCTGGAGAGAAAATTCAATGAGGGAAAATTCAGTTAGAGAAAATTCAATGAGAAAATTCAGTGAGGAAAAAATTCCTGGAGAAGAAATTCAATGAGAAAAAAGTTCCTGGAGAGAAAATTCAATGAGAAAGAAGTTCCTGGAGAGAAAATTCAATGAGAGAAAATTCAATGAGAAAAAATTCAGTGAGAGAAAATTCAATGAGAAAAAAAATGCCTGGAGAGAAAATTCAGTGAGAAAAAATTAATGGAGAGAAAATTCAATGAGAGAAAATTCAATGAGAGGAAATTCAATGAGAGAAAAAATTCCTGGAGAGAAAATTCAGTGAGAGAAAATCCATGCAGAGAAAATCCATAGAGAGAAAATTCAATGAGAAAAAATTCCTGGAGAGAAAATTCAGTGAGAGAAAATCCATGCAGAGAAAATCCATAGAGAGAAAATTCATGGAGAAAAAATTCATGGAGAGGAAATTCATGGAGAGGAAAAGGTGTCCCTGAATGGCTGGGAAAAAAATATAATATGAAAAATTACATATAAAAATCGAATATATTGTAATTTAACATAAGGGATGTCGTGTCCTGCCAGGCACTCAGGGTGGCAGCACCAGCCAGGAGACAGGGAAATCATCCCAGGGAAATTCCAATGGGATGTTCCTGCCTGAAAATCTGAAATTCCAATGGAATGTTCCTGCGTGAAAATCTGAAATTCCAAGGGGATGTTCTTCCCTAAAAATCTGAAATTCCAATGGGATGTTCCTGCCTGAAAATCTGAAATTCCAACGGGATGTTCCTGCCTGAAAATCTGAAATTCCAAGGGGATGTTCTTCCCTAAAAATCTGAAATTCCAATGGAATGTTCTTCCATGAAAATCTGGAATTCCAATGGAATGTTGTTCCCTGAAAATGTGAAATTCCAATGGGATGTTCCTGCCTGAAAATCTGAAATTCCAATGGGATGTTCCTCCCTAAAAATCTGAAATTCCAAGGGGATGTTCTTCACTAAAAATCTGAAATTCCAAGGGGATGTTCTTCACTAAAAATCTGAAATTCTAACAAGATGTTCCTCCCCAAAAATCTGAAATTCCAAGGGGATGTTCCTCCCTAAAAATCTGAAATTCCAATGGGATGTTCTTCCCTGAAAATCTGAAATTCCAATGGAATGTTGTTCCCTGAAAAATCAACCATCTGCCCTTCCAAAGCTCCAAGGAGTGACAAACGGTGCTGGGAGTCATTCCCAAAAGTGAGAGTGGGGATAAAAATAATCGGGATCATGGGGTGTGTCCAAAACTCCTGAGTTTTCCCATTCAGTTTTCAGAGGGAAAAACATCTGGAAAAGCAGCTGGAAAAGCAGCCTGGCTGCCAGAGGTGACATTTCTGCAGGAGCAGAGATCAAGGAGCTCCAGAGCTGCTCTGGGGACATTCCCAAAATTAGGATGGGCAGGGAGAGCCTGGAATGTGCAGCTCCA